AGAAGAAGAAGAAGAAGAAGAAAAACGCTAGGAGGAGGAGGAGGAGGAGGAGGAGAAGAAGAAGAAGAAGAAGAAGAAAATGAAGAAGAAGAAGAAGAAGAATGAAGAAAAACAAGAAGAAGAAGAAGAAGAAGAAGAAGAAAATGAAGAAGAAGAAGAAGAATGAAGAAAAAGAAGAAGAAGAAGAAGAAGAAGAAGAAGAAGAAGAAATGTGTGACTGCAGCTCTCTGTTTGCATGCAACAATGCTGTGATTAGTGTTGGAAGGAAGGAGATGTATGTATCAGTGCGAAGAGGAAGTGGATAACCCAACACCAGTGTTATCCAGTGGATAATCCAAAAAAATAATCCATTTATTGGATTATCCATTTGACATTATTGGATTATCCACTGGTCGATTAAAATCATGTTAATTGATCAGTGGATAATCCCAAAAAGAATATCCACTGGTGGATTAAAATCATGTTAATTGATCAGTGGATAATCCAAAAAGAAATCCATTTTTTGGATTATCCATCGACATTATCCAATACTGGTCGATTAAAATGGTATTAATCGACCAGTCCAAAAAAGAATCCAAAAAAGAATCCAAAAAAGTAATCCCAAAAAAAAAATCCGAAAAAATAATTATCCATTTATTGGATTATCCAACACTGGTTGATTAATATGATTATCCATTGAACTGCGAGTCTCCGACCACTGGTGGATTATCCAGCAGTGAATGATCCAACTCCAGGCCTTGCTCGGTTACTACCGAATGCACAAAAGACAAAAATATGTCGGCGTATCTTCCCATGTTCTCGTGGTAGATTCATTCTCATTTTGCACATTTGGTGAGTCATGGAGCGAGGCCCTCTGATGGCTTTTGGATAATCCAGCACTGACCACCATTGGGTTATCCAGCAGTGGATAATCGTGTAGGGTGCGGGCTCTTCAGAGATGTATTTGAGGCAACTCTAAGTCTAGGTACATCGATGGTTACCGTGCGCCGACTGGTGGGCTGAACCCGTCGCGAGAAGCCCCCTGCCGGACTTCCTCCTAGGACAACGTCTTTTTTTTTTTTTTTTTTTCCCCCTCCGAGGGCAACGTCCCCGACACCTCACAAGAGTCACAGCCCTTTTTTTGGGGAATTGTTAAGTGTTTTTTTTTGGATATCTTGAGCTCACGCGGCGGTGATGATGGCGCTGCCGACAAACTGAGTGCTTTTTGGATGAGGCTTGTCGTTTGCTCACACATTGGGATTCATTTGGCATTGCATGTACCCTTTTGCCTTCCTCTCTCTCTGTCTTTCTCTCATTTGGCATTGCATATCTCCTTCTCCTCCTGTGCCTGGTGATCCTTTGCTTTGCCTCCCTCCCTCCATCCCTCTCTCTCTCTCTCTGTGTCTCTCTCTCTGTGTCTGTCTGTGTGTTTGCCCGTCGTCTGTTGTGCTGTTTCTGTCTGTCTGTCTGTCTCGTCCATCGACTGCTGATTCGTTGACATTGTGTTGTTTGCCTGTTGATTGGCATTCGTTTGGCATTACATGGGCCCTTCTCCTCTCTCTGTCTCTCTCTGTCTCTCTCTCTCTCTCTCTCTCTCTCTCTCTCTCTCTCTCTCTCT